TCCTAATATAGCACAACATTAGTGTTTTACACCTCTTATCATGAGACTGCTTCTGAAATTATACCCCTTGCGATAAACAGCAACAAGTCATCAGTATCATGTGCAACCTTCAAAAGAGAGACTTTGGAGGCAGGAAGTAGGAAGAGTATGGAGACACAGCCCCCTGCCACATTATCATGCCCCTTTGTTTTTTCCTTGTTTCTTGCACCAGTTTTTGTTTAGCAGAGGAAAGCAGTTTGAAGAGGGGGGATTGGAGCAGGGTCTGGCTGCTCTCCACAGCATCATCCCCTGCCAACTGAAGCTCTCCTGTGCACTGAGGAAAGCACCCTCAGGGATGGCTGCCTGCCTGCAGTTATGTTTTGAGGCCTATGAATTATGCACGTTTTTATCCATTTAGTCTATGTTGACTTCATATAATTTTAGCTTCTTAATCAAGATGCCAGACAAGATAGACTAAATGCCCCCTGAGGCTTTATTAACCATACATATAATCTCATCAAAAAGATACTACAATACCTAAAAAGTTTTAATTCTGAGAGTTCCAGCACATCACTCAAACAGAAGTCCCTCATGGTGGCAGGGCTCTCCTCAGAGTGTGCTTGATGGGTTTGATGAGTTTGCTGGTTATTTTATTAGGGCACTTGGGCACGTGCATTATGCACCAGCTTGTCCTTGTTTTCCTTTGTCAACACAATTCCTGACAAGCATTCACAATAATTCACTGCATCATTTTTAGTGATTCAGTAGAAAATGCCTTCTTCTAAACTCCTGTAATGTTGTAACTCCTATTAAGAAAAAAAACCCTATATAAGGTTATGAGTGATTTTAACACTGATGAAGTGACTGTACTGACTAAGATTTAGTGATTTTATGTCACTAAAGCACCAGCCTAACGCTGCCTATTTATTATTGTTTATAGCACTGGTGTATAGGAGAAAATGTAGTATCCTCTGTTATATAGGACCTTGAATTTATATTTTTTTCAGTATCTTAATTTTATGCTATATTTTTGTTTGCTTGTTTTTATTCCTCTGTTCATCCTGACATTTTTAAATAGATGCCTTTCTTTCTGGGCTAGATAGACAAACAGATCCACACCAGAGGCCACCCACACAGCACAGCCACTTCATAGCTCAGGCTTCTCCATGGCTTGCTACCTTTTTTCTCTACTAAATCCTCTTATTTATGCAGCTTGATCTGTCTTCCACATGAGAATATTAACATTTCCCAGGGTCTGGGAGCTGAACAAGAAAATGGCACGTTTAAAACCACCTAGTTTGAAACTCCATCTGATACATGCATGAAAGCAGAGACACAGAAGTGACAGGGAGAGAGCCAAGATCCATCTCCTCCATGAACTTGTGGCTCACAAAAGCTTTGGGAAGAGTGCTGACAAAGGGTGAGTCTGTGGTGCTGCTGCAGACTGCCTCCTCCTCCAGCCACCCACAGGCTGGGGACTTCCTCAGTTGGGGGTGACATCAGCTCTTACCTTCTGCTGCCCTTCTGATTATCTGCATTTGGCCATCTTAAAAGGCATAGTATGCAAATAAGCAGAGTTTGGTGAGCAACTGTGACAAGTCCTCATTTCTTCTTTGCAATGTCAGTTTTTATGTATTCTACAAATTTTGAGGTACATTTTTATGTATCATCTGGTTTCTACCTAATTAAGTTTAAAAAGATTGCTGTATAACTGCATCAGAAACATTTTACTGAATAAACACCATTTATAGATGTCTGCAGTTTCTCCATTAACAAGCTCTTCATCAGTTCATTGAGGGGACCCATTGCTTTCTGGAGTAGTGTGGTGGCTAAAAGCAAGTGTGTTTGAACTGAATGTTGAATAGAGATAAATTATACCCCGACCACCTAGGCCTAGATGTAACCCTCCTAATATCTACTGACCAATTAGATTTATTTTGCATAATTATGCAAGTATTTTAAAATTTGCTGACTGCATATCACTGTTTCTATGAACTTCCTGGTATGTGCATTATGACGAATGAGCTGTTGCTGTCTGAATCATTTTGCATGTTCTTTGTTTAAATAAGAACATTATGATTACTCTGGAACTTGCACAACTCTGAGATGAGTTAAAGGTTAACATGAATGGTTTAAAGAGCTCTCGGGCAAAGAGATGCTCTTTCTGAAATGCAAAATTCGGAGTCCTAGCAGCTGGTTAATACCCTAACTACTACTGGGAAACAGAATAATTAGTGTTTTTTTTCAAAATGCAGATCAAAATATTTATTGAACATTTTTTCTGCATCATTAAAGAAAATCTTTTCCTTATAAACAAATAGCAGATTTATACTATTTCAAGATTGTCTCTGATGTATTTTACAGTTTGATGTATTATACAATTCATGATTCTCTTTGTTTTTGATGTATTTAAGGAGTAGCTCTTATGCTTTAATAATTTACAGAATGAGTTTTTACTGTCCCTAAACCTGTTGACTCTCACTGTTTGTCGGTGCCTTTTTTCACCAGTTTATGTACATTTCCTTGCCAATAGCTTGTAATCACATCAAGGTTCTCTTGTTTTTACTCCCTGCTTCTCTTTGAACAAACCACTGTCAGGGTAGTTGTCTTCACAGCTGTAGGACTGTGGGGCTCAGCTACCCAGTAAGGCTTTGTTAACTTAAACTCATTATTCACATTTATGTGGGTTTTTTAATTCCCACTTAGAGTGAGGTTGGACCCAAGTTTCTCTGGTTCTTATATTAGAAGGAAGGTGGAGACTGTCCTCAGTGTTCTACCAGTGGCTTCAGTGCTGCCTCTCATTTACACTTTAGATTTGGGTTTTATTTAATGGTTTCATATAATTGGAATAAATTAACCACAGAAGACGGAATGTCATCAGCACTCCCAAGTCACTCAATATGGCAGAAGTTTCTTTGTCTGTTTTTAGTTCTGAAAAAAAAAAAAATCTGTCTTCTTGCATTGAGTAAGATGTACATCACCATTAGCAACTGCTCTGGCAGTTGAGAAGTTGTGTTGAGCAGCAAGTTAGTGCTGTATCAGCACTAGTAGCTGCACAGAATTCCTCACGTATCCAGCTTCATCCCAACTAAGTGTAACTGGTGTGTAGGCTCTGAGAGGTGGGCAGTTTGTACTGTATGTCAAGTATTGTACAGAGAACTGCATATAAATCTTATTAATATTAGTAAGCAGAGGTTAATTAAGGTGCCAGTTCTGAAGAAATGAAACACATTCAGTTGATAGAGAGTAGCTGATGAGGGATCCATTTTACTAAAGCAGTGTAAGACAAGCCAAGTCTGTTAGTGTCAAGAATGAGAGAATTCATTCAAATTTTGGAAAAGTGTGTCTTTTTCAGAATCAAGGCTCATTTTTCTCTCTGAAACCAATGCAAATCCAACACCCAACTCTTCCAGATTTCTGACTGCAGGGTGGAGTGTGTTTCCTTGTTTAAGAAAGCACTGGGGGCTTGCAGAATTCAGTCACATGAAGCCTCATCACAAAAAATACAGATAGACAAGTATTCTCCCAGATGCAGTGAAGTAATTTAGTAAACTGTCCTGTAAACTGTAAATTTCTGGAAGAGACACTGAGTAAAATGGTATCTGGCAGTTTTTCATTTTCCAATTAAATCAAAGCAAGATACCTAGACATAAGTGCATGATTAAACATTTTCACTAGTTCTGAAATGAACCCAGCTCTGAAATTGTCTGTGTTGCCTTCAGTGACAAATACCCTAGAAATAAGGTTTTTTCCTGACAATACATCAAATAGAAATTCATTTCTTACTCTGTTCAAGACTTACAGAAATTCTTATTCCAAACTACTGGAGGCTGTAGGAAATACAGTAACTAGGGAAAAATCATTTATTCTGGTTCATACTGAGAAGGTATGTGCAATTATACACACTGTTTTGGGCACAAGTAGACTTGTATGGTTACATCCTACTGTTGTTATGAAGACTTTTTAAAGCATTTTCTGTATCCTTAGAAGAGCACTGAGTGTTTTGTGCAGATAGATTTAGTGAATAGAAGATTTTAGTCAGGATCTTTGTTCATTATAAAGGAATACAAATAATTTTTTAACAGCAAGATGCTGGCTTTTGTGCTTAAGATACATGCATTGGAAGGAAATGGGCCAAGGGGAACAAATGTCCAATTATAGAACCATAGAATGATTTCTGTTGGAAGGGACCTTAAAGATCATCAGGTTCCAGCCTCCCTGCTATGAGCAGGGATACCTCCCACCAGACCAGGCTGCACAAGCCCCATCCAACCTGGCCTTGAACACCTCCAGGGAGGGGGCAGCCACAGCCTACCTGGACAATCTGTTCCAGTGCCTTCCTACCCTCATGGGGAAGAATTTCTTCTTCATGTCTAACCTAAATCTCCCCTCTTTCAATTTAACACCATTACTCCTGTTTCTGACATTACAGGTTTTTTAATGCTTGCAGCATCCCATGTTCCTGAGCAGTGAGAGATACTGCAGGGCAACCCCAGTGCTGGTTCACTGAGGCTTTTGTCAGCACAGAGCTAACCCCAGCTGTTAGACACAAAGTAAAACTGGTGTCTGTGCAGGATTTCCTTGCTGCATCATGCTGGCCTTTTCTGGATATGTCAACTATTGTCTGGCAGTTGGTATCAAGGAGTGAGGTGGTGTTCCCCTCAGGGTGTTGGGTACCATCACTTGGCCACTGCAGAAACAGGAGTAGAAGTTCAAAGCTTTGCTGTCCACAAGCTGCTGGAGGTCACATCTCTGCTGGAGACTGCCTTTTACTTTGTATCTACCATCCATTTTCTGTAGTTGAACCCTTTAGACAGTGTGCATTTTTGCTTGTCCTAAAGTATGGACAATGACTGATTTACAGAAGGCAGCAGGACTCTGGTCCATGACTGTCTGCTATGTCTCAGGTTGCTTTCAAGTGAATGGGAAAGGGAGTGTCTCACTCATTGCTGCTGTTTGTTAATTTTTCCTGGGCAGATTCAGATGGACAACTAAGCATCCAGCACCCATGTTCAGAAGCCATGAATTCCAGAAAACTGCTCTCAGAAGCACGGAGAATGTTTCCTGCCACTAAAGTACGCTGGCAGCAGCCATCACGGATTCTTATCGTGGATGTCACATCACCTTCCTGGACCAACACCTGCTCTGTGCTTTCTGAAGCTCTGGAAAACACCCTGTGCTTAGCCTGCAGCTGGACTGGCCCCTGCCGGGTGCCCCTGCTGAGCCTCTACGTGGTGCAGAGCCAGCAGGAGTGTCTGCTGCCCTTCACGGTGGGTGTGGAACCTGGAATCAGGCACACAAGTGCAACACATACTTGTAGCTCATTAACTAAACTGTTCATTGGGTCTACTACACATTTATACCTAAAAATGACAAATTTGTATCTAAAGATTAATACTTTTAAAAAATGAAATGGTTTCATAGACTTCACAAAAGAAGTGAATTCTAGGAAAGAATGATGTTTGAAAGGAATGTCCTATTTCTGATCTGTGAAGTTGCCCATGTGCACATAAATTGGGTTGTGTGCCATTCCCTTCTAAAACATCTATTGTAGCTCTCCCTTTCCTATGTTGCTGCTTCTCCATCAAAATCAAACACAGCTCTACAGCTGTAGTAATGTGGATAGTGAAATGGTCTGTATAGGTCTTGATTACACAAATATTACCACTTTGGGAGGGGTTCCAGCTTTTAAGGGGAAAGAAGAATTCAAAATATTTCTTGCCAAATGTGACAAATCTCCTGATATCATATAATCATTTAGGTCAAAAAAGACCCTTAAGATCATCAGGTCTAACTGTAAACCTATCACTGCCAGGCCACCACTAAGCCACATCCCTCAGTGCTGATCTACACTGATTTTAACTATATAGATCCAAGTCAGTAAGAACAACTATTCACTCATCTAGAGATACACAGCAGAATAAAGAATGACACCACACTAAAAATTTGTAATTACAGAACATCATAAAGTTCACAAGACCCTACAAAGACAGAATGTTAAAAACAGTCACACTGAGCACTCTCATGCAATGTAAACACACAGTATTAACCCTTCCACTTAAATCAGCAATAGTGAAAACATTCTGAATGTTTTGTCGATCATCTCAGGAAAGGCAGAGGCCAACAGGGGAAAAAAATCATAGCAGATGTGATCTGCAAGAAGACTATGGCTTATGGTACTGTTTATTTTGTAGAACAGGTTACAGATGTCACAGGGGTAGCTAAGGGGACACCAAAGAAATTTTCTGGAGGTGTGAAATCACTCTGATTAGGGCTTTAAGAACAGACACTTGTCTTGCTTCCTAGGATCAACTTACATCCTGGCATGTCACTATAGGATGGACTAGGTAGTCTGTTTCACAACTGCTTCCAGGCCTGTTTTCTCTCATTTTGCACCATATCCAAGTTAATCAGTAAGTGTTGGGGGCCAAACACCTGCTTCTGTATGTGCTACATATATTCTGACCCTGATCCAACATGGGCTGACTGGCAGCAACCTCAGATCCCATCTGGTAATCCCTCTACTTGCCCCATCACCTGAGTCTTCTGCTCATGATAGGCTGTGTTTTGTGTTTAAATAACAATTCCTCATTTTGATATGCATAGTTTTTAAAGACAGAGGAGCCCTTAGAACATTGTTTGGCTTCTTTCATGACAGGCTATTCTATTTCACTAAAGTACCCATATATGTTTAAAGCACTTCCCATAGAAAGGCATCTAGTTTTGATCTGAAGATATTACAAGATGGAAAATTAAGTCCTTCCATTTCACCAAACACTGTTTTGCAGCAAGTGAGAGAAAACTTTGCACGAATTCAAGCCTGCATTTCAGAGCTCCGTGCGCTGCCAAGAGAAGGCTGCTTCCCCCAGGGAGGCAGTGGAGTGGTGCAAGCTGTGCAGGATGGATTGCAGCAGTTCAAGCAGTACAGCAGACACATAGCAGGAGGCTCCACAAACAGTTTTGTTGAGGTAAGAAAGCCTTGGGAAGGTGGTGGGAGCTATTTGCCAGACCTGCCACTCACAAGTGCATTAAGAGGATGGTCTGTGTGGTGTCCAAGGTCCATGGGAAGGAGAGTAATTAAGAATATAAACCCTCCAAAAAGTGCAAAACCCCACCTGGCAATCTCTGAGTGATCATGGAAACAAGACAGGTCCAGGTTTGAGCTGCTTATGGAGGCTGACATCATTCACAGCATAAAAAATAATTTGATCTCCAGCCATTTAAGACTGTTTTCCCAGCTCTAATTACTGTCACAGAACTGTGTCAGAGGCAAAGACACTCACAGCACTTACGCACACGACTTTCACCCTATGATTACACTCAGCAATCATAGTGTCTGAAACTCCCACTGAGACAATAGGATGTTTCTACAAAGGTTCCTGACTGAGGTGAGGTCACACAGAGATGCATTTCGTCCTGAGAGCAGTTGGCATGGCTACAGAGGACAGGAAGAGGCTACAGGATGGTCATTGTCTTTACACTGTCCTCTTCAAATCAGTTTTCAGAGTAATAAGAAAATTTGGCCAGTATTGGAATAACAAGAGGATTTGTTTATAATTAGCATTTTTCTTTCCTCGGTGGCAGCTTGTGAGGTCCCCAGGGCTCCTACCCTGCAGGTGTAACAGGATCCCTTACAGCACACATTGGCAATGGCTGCAGTGCCTTGTGGTGAGCTCTGCACAGCAGACAGCCCTGAAGCTCAGGAAGCAAGTCTGCCTTTGGCTTGCATCCCTACCTTGGGTGCATGGAAAAGGGGATCTCTGACAGCTTTATGGCAGACACAAAGAATGGGGCAACCTGGTGCCTTTCCCATACCCTAGAGAACAAGGAGAAAACTGTGCCAGCTGGGATACTGATTCCACCCCTTGCATGTACAAGGCCCTGAACAAGGTGCAGCTGCTGATGCACTAAGAGCTCTCTCTGCATAAATAATGCTTTATAAATGTGTATCTTATGTTCCACCTACACCACATAACATCTCACAGAAGGCAGCCTATAAGCAAGTTCCTCAGCTAAGGAAGCATTCCTGTACTGGGAGAGGTATTTCTGTTCATCCCAACTCTGGGCTGTGTGTTATTCTGTACCCCATATCACAGCAGTTCACAATCTTCCTTCTAAGGAGGAAAGCCCTAGTAAGTGGGAGCAAAGTGTTTTGAGACACCACACAAACATTTCCTTTCTGCTCAGGCTTTGTGGAGCTTTGGAACTGGCCATTGATTTGCCTGGAAAAAAAGGAAAGAACAGGGACTTAAGTCTTGTTGGACAGGACAGTGAGATGAGTTGGCATGGCAGGACAGCCCGATGCTTGCCTGGGATTTCAATGCACATCTATATGGTGCCTGGTTTCCCAGGCTTCTCAGTGAGCATGACCACACAGCAGGTCTGTGCAGTGCTTCCTAAGCCAGTTTCACAGATGGGGATCACTGCTCAGCTTGAGCAGAAGCTCTGGCATGACCTGGTTTTCATAAGCCCATGTTCACCCCAGTGAACATACCTGAAGATTTGAGATGTTTTTAGGAATCTAGCTGAGATCCAACAGCCAGGAATCCTGTGTGAATATATCAAGTCCTCAAATCCCTCTGGAGATTCCTGTAAAAAGGGGGACACATGTTCAGCAGATGTTCAGCAGTCCCAGGACAGGACCTACAAGATTTTGGTGCACACTAGGGGCTGTATCCTCAGCTGCATGTGTACACTTGCCTAAGTTGGAGGGAAGCTGCTAACAACACAAGAAGATTATGCAAATATGGAAAGCAGAGCAAGGTTCACTAGGAAGAAGTTTTTTGATTTGTTGTGGGTTTTTTTGGTTTGGTTGGTTTCGGGTGTTTTTTTGTTTGTTTTGAAGTGAAAGGACAGGCAGCTGTCAAGAAGGGAAGGACTCAGAAGTGGTGTTCTCCTCTGGACATGGGGAAACATCAACTCTAAACTGTCCATCTGTTTTTGGAGCTTTATCAGTCCTAGAAGGGAATCCAGACTTCCAGGAGTGAGATTTCCCCAGTCATAACCAACATCACTTCTACTTTTAGCTCCTTAAACCTCTCCAGAGTCATGGTGTGGTCAGACAGACTCTCCCAGCTGTAATTGAGACTCACATCCAGTGTCTATCCAGGAAATCTTTCTCCTAATTTCCTGCTTCTGTGTTTTCTCAGGGCCTTGAGGTACTTTTCCTGACCATTTCAAATGCAATTTATGCTCTAACTTCAAAGCTGGGTGTTGGAACAAACCAAGGACACTTCTGAGGCAAGATCTTTTGTGACACACAACAAAATCCAGGAAATCTTGTATAGCTGAAGGAATGAGATAGCAGCTTTCAAAATTACATTACCTAGGATTATAGGGAATTTATACCCCAATAAGCAATCCTGATTCCCTTAATATATTATACTTTTCATTGCCAAGGGCTGCAGGACAACTGCAGTGACAGACTGTGGGGTTATATACCTATTTGAAAGGGTGGACCACCATTTTTCCTTCTAGTTTCATTTTCTCTTAAGAACAGTGTACATAGATGCAATACTAATTCCTCTTCTTCTGACAATTTACTAACTTGTATTTACTCTCGTACACTTGGATCAGTCTGGAAAATAGGGTGTCCTCCACTCTTCTGGAATTAATCTGACCACATACCACTTGATCAGCAATTTTGATGGGTAACCAAATGTTTTACTTCCTGATACTAGAAAATAGTGATTTCACATGGTTTGTTACACTATCCTTGGCCCTGGATATGAAGTCCCACCTAAAGAAGACCCTTCATAAGATGCTCAGGGCCATCTGAGAGCTGGTTGTCATGCCCAGCTGAACCAGCAGCCTGTATGATTAAATTAATATATATACGCATACCCAAACCAGAGAATGATGTCATAGATTTTAGTAATTAAAAAAAACAAAGCCAACAACAGCCCCATCACCAGCAGCAAAACCACAACACTCAAACAACAAGCAAACAAAAACCTCCTCTCAAACATGCATGGATTCTAACTTGAAAGGTGTCTTAGGGAGGATGCTCTGGCAGAGGGGTTGGACTAGATGATCTTTCAAGGTCCCTTCCAACCCCTAGGATTCTATGATTCTATGACAGGAACTCAGGAACCCAGGAGATGTCGCCATTCTTCAGACACTCCATGCAGCAAACTGCACCTGAGCTGCTGCAGAATCTCTGCCAGAAAACCCCTCCTGCAGTCTTAGACACACCAGTCAAACAGGCAGGAGGAGCCCCTTCCCATCCCTGCCAGCTAGAGGCCTCTCAGCAACCACTTCTTCCCTTCACCACATTCAAAATAAGGTCCAGACTGAAGACAGTTTTCCTGGTTTCCATACCACAGCAGATTCCACAGGCACCAGTCACACCTGCTCTCATCCTTCCCCATTGCTCCATGCAAACTGTATTTCATGCCCTGTTCCCACTGCCTTCCTTCCCTTCGAGCCCTTTGTAACAGGCATCCAGTATTTGTCCCAGGAATGCATGCCTTATAAGGCTGAGGTAAATTACATTAAGAATAGCTTTTTTGGTGGCTTCATTAGTGGATACAATTTATACTGATCCTATTTCATTTGAAAAATATCCAAAATACAACTAGAGAAGCAATTCAGAGAATGTAGAGATCTGAAGTATTAGAGCAACTTGATTTTAGCACAGGTCCTGAGAAGGGTGCTGAGGGCTTCCAAAAGGCAACATATCATACTTGCCCACCCTGTGCTCTTTCTTCAGACCAGGCATCACCACCTATCTAGACAGGATTAGAGGCAGCTCTTTCTCACCCCATTTTGTGTTTCAGATCACAATTTTGACTAGCCAGTCCAGCAGAGAAATGGTGAAGCAGCTGGAAAAGAAGTTAAAAGATGTAGACCTTGTGAGTCTGCGAAGAATACAAGTCATCGAGGTTTTGAAGAGGGACTTTCTGGAGCCTGAGGCTGTGGAACAGTGCATGCCAGCAGAAGAGCCCAGCAGCAATGGTGAGTGTAAGGCAGAGTAGTCAGGGAAGCTATGGACAGCAGAACAACCACCAGTCCATGCTTTGGTCCCAGATGTGTCACTTCCCTTTGTGCCTTTTAGTGTCACATATCTAAGCAGGAACTACTGTGCCTGGAGGAACACCAAAAAGCTTCTACCACAGCACTTCTTTGGGGCTTTAGCACATTTGGGCAAAATTAGCATAGAGACTTCATGGCTTACTGCATCCTGGAATTACCTAATACTGTCTTGATATACAACTTTGCTGGGGGATTAAGAAGAAAAAAAAGCATCCAAGTTTATGGGGGTAGCACACTCAGACACACACTCACCCTGCTGAACATCCCCCTGGGCTCCTGACTGGCTGATCAAGGGGTCCTTGCTGCAGGCAAGGCAGCCAGAATCCATGAAGCAGGTGGTAGGTAGAGAGAAGAGCAAGCAGACAGGCAGAAGAGGGGAATGAGAAGCAGGCAGGCCATTTACCATTTCAACTATTCTACAGAGATAACCCACTTCCCCCCCACCTAACTCAAGACCTTTTACAAGAAATTTGGTTTCTAGACAGTTCTTCACCTTTAGTCCTTTCCCCCAGACCACATATCACACCACAGAGAAGAGTTACTTCCCCAGACCAAGTCAGGTACTTATCCTGTTTATGAGCTGGTTTTTGTCACTGATGTGGTTCTTGCTTGGCTGCTGCTTCTTTCCTCTATGCTGAGGAGCTTTTCTTCAGCTCTCAAGGGTGCACTTCTTCAATAACCAGTAGCCCTTCAAGGTGCTCTCTATAGCTTCCACTCTCCAAGCCAGACCTGCATTCTAAAGGCCTTTACTTATACCCCCATCAACAAGACACACCTGGTAGCAAGCTCTGGCTCACACAGCAAATTCTCACAACTAGCTGATAACAATCTTAAAAACCTGAGGCCTGATGCCTTGCAAAGCTACTGTAAGACCTGCTACTAGCAGTGGCAATATTGGTTTTACTGACAGGTAACACTGAATATTGTTGCCTTACATGTCTCTAGCTGTTCTTCTCTGGTTGCAGTAGCAAACTTCGGGTCAATTGGCAAAGTAGGGGTTGGGAATGTTGATGCAGATCTCAGATTCCCTTTTGCCCCATCCCTTGCACACCTGGACACGTGGAAGAGCAGCCTCTGAAGGTTATTTTTCTGGCTGTATCTCTGAAGAACTCCTTGATCTGACCGTTTTCACTAGTGAGAATTTAAGCTATAATAATGAGAAATTTTAAAAACAAAACAAAACAAAAAAAAAAAAAAACAAAACAGAAATTGCTGTTGGCTCCTGTTTTGAGCCTTTCAAAGCAAAAGATGCTGAGCAGACTTCAGATATGCCAGCCAGATGGTGATCCAAGGCCAGCAGGGCAGTGGCAGGGGCCTGTAGGTTGCAATGCTGCTGCTTCTGCAAGTTCCATTCCTGTGTTTCATTTTACCTAACTCCAAGACCTGCTCAGTTATTTCAGTTCTTGCCCAAGGGTGATAAAAGGCTGCTGAGCAGCAGTTCAGGCTGGCTTCCTCCACCTGCAGCACAGCCCTGCCAAGGTGCATCTCGCTGCAGACAGGACCCCTGTCCTGCGGCCCCCATCCCACCGGGCTGCTGCAGACCCTGGTGAACCCGGAGCTGGGTCATCGGGCACTTGGAGGTTTGTCAGCCCGCTAACGACCCGCGGAAAGCTTCCCACAGAGACACAGCCTGTCCTGGGCTCTGCCGAGGAGCAAATCTGCAGGGAGCGCTGCCGGGCCAGAGGGAGCAGCAGCTCCTCCCGGAGCAGCACCCGGTGCCACCAGGAACAGTCAGCCCTGTCACAGCTCTGTCACTCTGACCTGGCTCTGGAATTAATTTAATATGCAAATGCACCAAAATCACCACTTACAAAATTGTGAAAGGAGATGTTGCCTAGAGCTCGGACGCTGAAGGTTCTTCAAAAGCACCTGATCTTGCCCACATGGGAAGAGGACAGCGTTTTGGTGGCTGCAAATGCTGCCTTCTCAAGTGAGGATTATTGTCAGGACTTTGTATTGAGCTACTGCTGCCTGGAACCCTGAGAGAAAACCCTGGAAAACTCACCACCACAGACAGCCCCAGGGAATGGATAGTCCAAGTATTCTGAAAAAAGAGTCTTTATGGTGAGGATTGTTTATTTGTTTGAGCTCCTTTCCGCTGCTTCTCCAATAAAAATTCCTTGCATTAGAAAAACTTGCAGTAAGGAACATTGAAGTTGCAAGATGAAGCATGCAGGAAGGGCCAGGCTGAGTGCTCTGCTCAGCACCACAACACACACATTGTGATGCAGTACTTAGTTATGGGGTTCATCCCACCCTGGATATGTCTTCTGATAGTTTGTTTTGTGACTGTTTGAACCTACTTACATTTTTAATATACACAGCATTGCTGTGACTTTGCATCCTGCGTTTATATTAGTAGCACGTCTAAAATAATATATTTTTAAATCCTCTGCCTGAGAAATTAGTTTTATGCCCTCTCCATCTCAGCTTATTGGAAGCAAATGACAGTTTCCAATTTATTTTTTCTGTTACTGTCTTATAGAGCTCTACCTGAGAGACCAGAGATCTTAAAATGTTGCGAGTCTGATTAGCCTGGAAAATGTTATTCTATCTGTAACGACTTTGGTAAATTGCTCTCAAAATCTCTTCTGACCTGCTCTGGGCTTTGATGTCAGATGGCTGGAGTCTGAGCTCTTTTCTCAGTTGGCCCCATCGTCCTCTTTCTGAGATCTTAGCAGCCTCCATGTTGCCAGTCAGAGTGGACATGTGGGGCTTCACAAAGAGCCTTTGAATCAATGCAAGCTTCTGCCTCTCCCTGCTGTTCCAGCTGCTGCGTGTGGCTCAGTTGGCTGTGTCCTCTTCTCTCAGCTTCCTCAAAGTTCTTTCACCTCACTTTCCCAAAGTTTCAAAAGGGATGGTTTAAATGAGGTCCCTAAACCAGGAAGCTCTCATGTCCAAAGCAGCTTTTGCACACACTGATTTTGAATCCATCCTCTCTAGGTGACACTTTCCAAGCAGCCTTCCTGCCTGGCAGGTGGGTTGGCAGGTGGCAGCTGTACTTGCATCTCCTCATCTCTACCCTTTTTCCTGCTGCAAAGCAGCTCCTCTGTGCGGCAGAGCTGGAACCTGCAACGTTTCTTCAGTGCTTCAGCTTGGGCGCTGGCCGGGCTGCAGGCTGGAGCAGAGATCGTGATTGGTTCTAAATCCTGTAGAGAGGGCAACATATTCAGCGTCTGTGGTGGGAAGAGTGTGTGGCAGTACTGGATAGATGCAGTGGCTGGCTGCTAGTTGATAAAATGAAATGTATTGTTATTTAAAAACAAATCCAACCCCACAACTGCTAGACTTTGTGTTGGCTTGTAATTTGGATGCACCACTGAGTTATTTGGTGTTTTTTTGCATGGGTTTAATCTTGTCCAGAACTCCCTAACTTCCCTTCATTCCTACCTGTTGTTGCTGGACCCTGGTCATTTGCTCTGCACCTCCAACATGGCAGCTTAAATACTTGCTACATCCTTGCAGACATCTTTACTTTCCACTTTTCCTCTTTTTAACAAGTCTCAAAGTTGAGCATTGCACTTGTTGGAGATGAAGTGTGAGGTGGAGGACAGTGTTGGAGGATGTTCTGCTGCTCAGCTCCTGTCATCAAGCAGCACTTCAGCAGCAACGTGGTGAAACAAGTCCTCTGTGTTGGTCGGGTCCAGGTTCAGATTTCCTTCTCTTCTCCTCAGGTCTGTGACCAGCTGCTCCCTTAAACACATGGTGAGGATGTTTAGCAATTTAGTCACAGGGCCATATTGCAAAGTAAGGTTCATCTCCTGCATGAGGAGCAGCAGTTCTCCAGCACTCTGCACAATCCCTGTTAACACAGCATTTCAGTTCTGTGATCTGATTTCTTTTATCATCATGTGTCCAGTGTCCCTGACTTTGGGAAAAGGAGGGAATGGTTTAAAATTGTGAGAAGAGTTTCTGAGGCCAACGCTGAGGTGGCCCCAGAGGAGGATGGTCTGCATCAGTGGCAGCTAGTCCTCTGAAGAGAGCAGTAGCCAGTGCACCCACTGATGGATGAGAAGGGTGTTGGTGCAGCCCGTGGAGCTCAGCTCCCAGCAACATCCTTGTGGCAGAGGTGGCTCAGGGGGCTGTGCTGTGATCTGCATGGCAACGGCTTCTGAAACACTTCCTATGTGGGCTGGAGCCAGTGCACCCACTGATGGATGAGAAGGGTGTTGGTGCAGCCCGTGGAGCTCAGCTCCCAGCAACATCCTTGTGGCAGAGGTGGCTCAGGGGGCTGTGCTGTGATCTGCATGGCAACGGCTTCTGAAACACTTCCTATGTGGAAGCCCTCGAGGGGAGGTGAAGTGTGCTGGGGAATGCAAAATAATGTTATTTTCCGTGGCTGAAAACCCTTGTGCCTTTCCACCTTTGCTCCTGCAGATATTGCAATCCTGGGAATGGACATTGATGTGCAAACTGTAGAGGACAATGTCATCAGCCTGGAGATGCTGTTTAAAATGTGGCTACATGACTATGGCACAGAGAGAGAACATCTCCACCTCTTCCTTCCATCAGGAGGCTTCAGCCAGGCCACTGCACCCAAGACCACCATAAGTATTTCATTTCCTCTTCCCCTCTGCATTCCTGCTCCTAAATCTCAGATCCTTAAAGGTTACCCAGGCCTCTGGGCATGTTCCCTCACATTTAGAGACACAAGTAAGAAGGTCTCTGGGTGACTTCAAAAGCTGTCTGGAATTTCTTGTCTCAGGCTGAGAATACTTGTAGGTTGCTGCCGTGTCTTTTGGCTGCTGATGCTATAATTCATTTCCATTCTGCAGCAAAAAAATGTGACTTGAAGAGTATTTGAATTTATAGCACTTGGTCAAGGTAATAGGGACCTTACACACTGACAGCCTAGGACCTTCTGGCTCAGTTGTTTAGCCTTAAAATTTGTTTTTAGTTTGATACTAAAAGGCTGTGCCAGAGCTGCACTTGAATAAAGGCTGACTTACAAAAGGACTTGGCTTGTATTTATATCTATTTTTTAAAACTAAAATAGCTAATGTTGTAGCTGGAATTGCCAGCAGTTGTAATAATACATGAGAAAATGTATATGGAATATGTAAATTTTTTCCCTTTGCTCTCTGAGTCCAAATCCCTAATCCATCCTTGGGTGAGCACTGAAAACACCAACAGCTCCAGCAGACACAGCTGTGTCCCATGAGTTGTTCCCTTGCCATGGGAAGCTGCACATGCAGGTTCAGCAAATCCCCTTCCCATACCTTTCCAGTAGGGCAGGATGTGCAGCTCCAGCGTGGTGCTCATGTGCAGCAGGAACCTGTTTTCTTCTGGTGCTCCACAGGCCAGCTCCAACTGGAAGCAAAGCTCCTGCACAGCTGCTGGTGGCTTTCACAGATAAGCTCCACAGCAAGCAGATCAGAAAGCCTGGTGTGACTTTTTGTTTATGCAGTAGCTGCCTTAACAGCCTCCAGACCCACACAGGCAGTCAGGATATTTTGGTAAAGGTGGATTTTCCTTCATCAGAACATTGAATTTCATACTTGATGCATTGTCTTATTATAGCTACCAAGACAAACCCAGTTACACTGCAGTATTTTCAGGTTCCCACACTCACCAGATCTGCAACAGGCCAGAGGAGCTGCCTGCTCCTGTGATCATGCTGCCCCAGAGCTGCTGTCATTAGCTTTCTGGGTTTTCCCACAAACACAGCTGGAAAAGCTGCTGGGAAACGTATGGCCCTAGACCCTGTGTGGCACTGGGAATAAAGCTGCTTCCTCCACAGCTGGCCCTCATCACTGAAACTGGAACTTGCCTGCCCAATTACCAACCGTTGTTTCATTAACATACCAATCGTGGTGTTTCCCCTGGTGTGGAAAATGGGGGTGGGTTGTTGCCTCTGTCCCAGGCTTTAGCACTGGTCTTCCCTAATAGCTGCTGTTGCAAGAAAATACTTAGTGTTTGTCAGTGCTTTGAGCATGTCCTGTGCCATTCCCTGCAACCTGAACCCATCTTCTTCTCCTAGTATGCCTGAAGTGTGATCTGCAGGAGAGATTGCTCGACCCAGCGCTCCTTTCTGGGGCTGTTGATGGCACCATGAGAGCAGCAGATGTGACTTCACCCTGCCAGATGGCAGCCTGGCCAGCCACCGTGCTGTATAAACTCCAGGTTGTAAAGTAAGTGTTGTTATGTGCTTTGCCCTTGATAACTGGCAGGCTGATGTAACAGCAGCCTTTGTTCTTCTGTGCAGTTTCAGCTAGGACCTAGTAACATCACTGGGGGACTGCAAGTTCTGGTATAGGATGTCCCCAGCCCTGTTACCTTGGTGCTATGGACCAGCACATCCCACCCTGCAGACAGGAGCAGAGCCAGGAACAGTGTCACTGGCACATAACACCACAGACATCATCCCCACAACAGCTGGTTTCCTTCAGAGTGAAGTTCTGTAGATTGCAATCCTTGCTCCATATAACATTCTGCTGTTCTCTCACTACCTAATGAGGTCACAGCAATTAACTGGACGTCACAACCTGAACTGAGTAGTTGACTAGTAGTAAAAAAGCAAGCAAAGCCTCATAGTGCTGTGGGACTTAATGTAAGAATTTTTTCTCTTTCCTGTCAGCAGCCTATGTCTAGTAAGCAGAACATAACAAGAAGAGTCATGCTCTCTAGTGTATTTTATGAGGTTTATTTATAGGAAAAAAAGTGTAATTTCTGAACTGCACAGTTGTTCTTAAAATTACTCTCATCCTGTCAGTAGCTGAAGAGCACTCAGTGCTGTGCAGAAGAGGCCACAGCCAAAGCACTGCAGATACTTATTAATGCCCTGTCTGGGCAGGCAGCACTGAGCTCTGCAGTAGTGCTTGTGGTGGGTTCTGTGCAGGAGAGCACATGGCAATTTAAGTGAAGGAAAACTGTGATCCAGTAAAAATCCCTTAGGCAGAGGTGTAATTGCCACAGCCATGGAGCCAGTCACATCTGGTAGAGCCTTCTTGCTGGTTTCATGTTGGCTGTGCTTCACTGACATGAGCTGTGTATTTGCAGGGCTCTGAAGTCTGAAGGGGTCTGTGAGTCTGTGTTGTATGGACTGCCCCTCATCATCAAGCCCACAAGCTGCTGGCAGCTAGACTGGGATGAACTGGAGACAAACCAGCACAGCTTCCATGCTCTATGTCACAGTCTCATGGTGAGTGTGTGAAAATTGCAGTCTCATGGGGAGGGATTGCCATTGAAAGGGACAGTTAGTGCACATCTAGCAGGATCTGTTTAGCCTGCACCAGGAAACATGTTTCCAAAGCTGCAGTTTCATCTCATGGGCCAGAGTTGGGCTTGTAGATCCTTCCAGCCAATGCAGCCTCTGGAAAGATGCTACAGCACATCAAACCTTAGAGAAGACTCTGCAGCTCATCAGACATCCAGTGTCTGGAGCTATGAACTGCAAAAGTCAGGGCTGGAGTTAGACGTGTATCTTTGTGAAAATAATTGACCAATTGGGATGTGGAGGCCTTTGCATCACTGACAAGTTGTAAAGCAAGATTGTATGTTTTTCTTAAGAATTATCTTGCATTCAATTAAAAAACAACACCCAGAGACCATACTATCCTTTGCATGATGCAGAGTGTGTGTGAATGTCTGCCCTGTGCCCAGCAGCCCTGCAGGCAGAGGCTGAAGGAAGTGGCTGTTGCCTGATGATCATATAACTTCTGGCTTTTGCAATCTAGAGAAGGAAGTGGATGCTTTTGGCCAAACGTGAGCCACAAAACACTGGTCCCAGCTGGAACATCATGGTGCATTCCTACTACATCCTTGTCCCTTCCGACTCAGCCACCCTGCTGGTCAGAGCAGTGGCCACCAGAGAGCTCCTGCTGCCCTCAGCCTTCCCAGCCCTCCTGGCTGAACACCCTGAGGGGGAGCGTGGCCCCGTAGAGGTGAGTGCAGCCCTGCACAAGCTTCTGTGGGAAGAAGCCCAGTTGGACATGCAGGGATCAGTGATGAGCAGCCTTAGTGCACAGAACCTGCAGCTGCTGCTGAAGATGTATTCATCTCCCTACTTGCTGGGGAACTTGGACCTCCTCAGATTCCAGAGGGAGGTGTGTATAAGTCAGTGTCCCTGCTTCTTCCAGTTTAATGCGTGTGAATGTCTGCCCTGTGCCCAGCAGCCCTGCAGGCAGAGGCTGAAGGAAGTGGCTGTTGCCTGATGATCATATAACTTCTGGCTTTTGCAATCTAGAGAAGGAAGTGGATGCTTTTGGCCAAACGTGAGCCACAAAACACTGGTCCCAGCTGGAACATCATGGTGCATTCCTACTACATCCTTGTCCCTTCCGACTCAGCCACCCTGCTGGTCAGAGCAGTGGCCACCAGAGAGCTCCTGCTGCCCTCAGCCTTCCCAGCCCTCCTGGCTGAACACCCTGAGGGGGAGCGTGGCCCCGTAGAGGTGAGTGCAGCCCTGCACAAGCTTCTGTGGGAAGAAGCCCAGTTGGACATGCAGGGATCAGTGATGAGCAGCCTTAGTGCACAGAACCTGCAGCTGCTGCTGAAGATGTATTCATCTCCCTACTTGCTGGGGAACTTGGACCTCCTCAGATTCCAGAGGGAGGTGTGTTAGTTATAAGTCAGTGTCCCTGCTTCTTCCAGTAGATTCAGGCTTCTGCATCTCCTGTTGTGCATCCACATGTTCTTCTCCTGAGTTGTCTGCCTCTGCTTCAGGTGATGGCAGGAAGGGCAGAGCCCTCACAATGGGTTTTTGCAGATGAGTAGAGGAGGAAACAGCTGTGAAATTGTCTAGTGACAGCGGGAATACAACAGAGCACTCCAAAACTTCTTCCCAGCACCCAGCATATCCTACAGCTTTCTTCACAGACAGCAATGTTGCATGTCTGTTGGGAGAAGCAGAGTTGTCTCATGAGGCAGAGGTGTGGGTGACAGTGCCCAGCCAGGGTGCTCCAGCCAGTTGGTAGGACTACATCCTGCAAGGGAATGCTTAAAGTCATTCAGACCAGATTGCAGGTGCCTCTTCTTCTATACACAGCTAAGAGTGGTCCTTGTGGAGAACAGCACAGCCAAAGATCCCTTCTGCCATCACTGCAGGGTGGCTTGGAGCGTCTGTAACACTCGTCCCTGCAGAAAAAAAGCCCTCAACACTAAAACCAATAAAAAGCCCTTAGAAAACCCCCTGGCCTCTACCTGTCAGCATCTCATAGCTGCTGGGTTCTTTCTTCTAAGCAGAGTGCCCTGAACAGCTTGGAAGTGGAAGTTGCTTATAACCCCTTGCACCTTAAGAGCAACCTCTACAAATACCTGAAGAGCACATTGTACAAACCTCAGCCCAGGCAGCAGGCCCAGCCCAGGGAGCAGCGCCCGGAGCGGCACCAGCCCAAGCAGGTGGGTCTCCTGCCCCTGCCCAGCCCAGCTGGTCTCTCTTCTGCCCTTCTGGTCCAGCTCCTGTGGGAGGGCTGAGGCAGCTCCCTGAGCAGCAGGGGGACAGCAGCCAGCAGGGCAGAGGGGTCACACAAGCTGAGGAGAGGGACACTGAGCACCTGCAGACACTGCGGGACAGTGGGTGGGACACACTCCTGTCTCTGTGTTGCAGCATCCCAGCAGAGCCAGGGCCACAGTGGCGCCCCTGCGGATGGCTCCTCCTCCTGCCCAGGCATTCAGAGCAGCAGCGGGGAGGAGAGATGCCTGCGAGGACTCACTGTTCCCTCAAGAGTATGAGGAGTTCCTGCAGTGATGTGGGTGCCCTAGGGCCAGCTCTGAGCTGGGCTGCCAGGCCCAGAGCAGCCGGACAAGACACCACCCTTGGTGTTGGCCAGACTAGCACTTCCCATTGCTTGTTCCTCCTTGTTGTTCTATGGTTGTGTTACTCACCAAGTCCATCTGCAGGAAGCCTGCTACTGTGGGGCCCTCTGTCCTGAGATCCAGCTGTCCCCTGCAGCTCCCCTTATTTCCCACTTCTGTCAGCACATGTCCCCAGCTGGCCTTACATTTTGGTTTCTGAGCCTAAGTGAGTTCAGGCCACAAACCACAGATTGGTGTCAGCGGGGGCAGAAAAGCTGCAAGCAGGGTGCTGAGGAAGTCAGACAGATAACGCAGGCAGTAACGTCAGGCTTCCCTCATCCTGCAGAAGCACCATCAGCAGGGTGTTTGAATAGGCATAAAATGGGGTTTTGAACTTGATCTACAGTCCAAAAGACTGTTCTATGAGCAGCACTACAAGGCTGACTTGCTTGCTGCCATAGCTGAGCTGTCACGAGGGGTTTGTAGCAGGCACCACAGGAGCTGCAGTGCCCCCCTGGCCACCAGCAGTGACAGGCACTGCAGCACAGCACCCATCCCCAGCCAGCTGCTGCTTGCTCCTTATGGCCTGTTTGTGCATGTGGGGCTGTCATGCAAGCCAGCACAGCAGATACCTTTGGGCAGGGTTCAGAACATGGGGAGAGTTGGCCCAGAGCTTTCCAGAGAGCTGCTGCCCAGCACCTGCACAGATGTGACCTGTTCTTCAGTGCAGACATAGGAAACCTGCCCCTGGCTGGGCAGGAGCTGAGGGCAGCTCCACCAAGCCAAGGTGGGGTGGAGTCTCACTGGGCCTCCCAGGTGCCAAGCACCAGCAGGGGTTTATGTTCCATTTACTCTGTTCTGACAAGCTGTTTCAAAATAAAGTTCTGCACCAGAACGTTCACGTCCTGCCTGTGGTTTATAGCGTATACACAGCAATCCAGCCCCGAGGGACACCTGCAGCTGACCAACAGCACAGGGCAACCACCCTGCTCCTAGGGCACTGCTGCTGCAGGAGAGCAGAGCCAGCTCTTTTCCATGGGGTCCCACCTCAGTAACAGGCCCTGCTGGCCACCCAGGGCATGGACCTGCTTCTCCCATGCTATGGAAGCAGGTCCATGCCCAGCAAGAGGCACACACTTCATCTCAGGCAGATGTCAAGGGAAGGTACTTGAGGACAGGGCCTTGCAGGCTCATGTTGGGGTGTGCAGCTGGAAGCCAGTCCTGCCTCGCCAACCAGCCCACAGCCACCAGAAGCAGGGATGGAGCAGCCAAGGGCAGTAATGCACAAACAGGGCCCAGTGTGGGGTATGCAAAGCAGAGAGCAGTATGAAAATGACAAACATCAGGCAGATTAGCTGGGGCCATGGTGTGTGTGTGACCAGTTTGACTGATCACACAGTGGAAATTACTTCAACAACCACATCATAAACATGGAACTGGAGCACAAAGCCAAGAAAACACCTTGCTGGTGGGAAAGGGTGAACAAAGAGGGGCCTGTCATGTATTGCTGATAGAAGGAAGCTGCTAAAGGGGAAACTTGGGAAGAGGGAAAAGGGACTGTAAGGGGAAGCAAATTCCAAAATTGGGGCTGTTTGGGAGTCCCTGTTGGAAAGACCTCCACCTGGCCACCACAGGGTGAAGCAGCAGTAACTGCTGTTGCTCTGACATCTCTTGACAGCCAGAGGGAACTTAGGTGCTTTCCCTGCTGTCGGTGAGAACGGATGTCCTGGCAGAGCAGTTTTCTGACGTCTGCACCACACTAGGCCCTAGAGGGAAGGAGTAGCAGTCATAAAAGGACATAGATTTCAGAACAGGAAACAGAAAAAGGTAGTTTCAAGGGGAAGAGGTTGCTTAGGCTTCAAGCAGCTCCCAGGTTATTTTCTCCTAGTAAAAACTGCCACCTGGCCTAGTGAGACCAGGACTTCTGCTTCTGGTGCATCCCAGCTGTGGTGCCAGACTCGTACTCACGTTTCTCAGTTCATCTGGGGCATGGGCTTTTAGCAGAGAACAGAGAAGCACATGGGCTGTCCTCACACGAGAAAGTCTGATACGCAGAGGGCTTCCTGTGCACCACCCAGTCTGGCCCACAGCACCTGGACAGGCAGGCAGGCACAAAACTGCTCCATTCCAGGACCATTTCTGCACTGTAAGAAAATTGGCAGGATAAGCTGCCAAGCATTAGCCAAAGGCTCACTCTGCATTTACCTTCCTTCTCGTGCCTTCCCAGGGCACTTATTGCACCCCAAACTGCTGCCAGGAGGTGAGGTGAAGCACAGAGCAGCAGTCTGAGCAGATGGCAGGTCTGGTCCGCAAGAGCAAGCCAGAGAAGAATGGGCTGTCTCCCTTGTCTGGCAGTGTGCAGAGACACAGTAGGCCACACGTAGGAGCGTTCCTCCTGTCCTGAACACTTCCCTCTTACTCCCAAGTTGGCTGTTCTGAGAGATGATGTCACTGCTGAAGCCAAGAAACATAAATATCCTTTCCTCTCAGCCAGGTGGAGCACAGGGCCCGTAGGGACCACTGGCCTGGCACAGATGCTGGAGCATTTTCCTTCCTTCCTGCCACCCTTAGTAAAAGCTGGGTCAGCCCAGCACATCCAACATGCTGCTCTGTGGGACAGAATGGATGCAGTGCAGTGACTGCAGGGATGGAGAGGCACCAACACCCATGGCCCCACAGACTGGGACGGCCCTGGGGCTCTGCTCCTGGGAGGCTGCTCTTCATTACCCAAGTCTGGGAACCTCTCACTGGAGTCACAGGCAAGGATCACAGGTAGGTGGGCTGCCTCCCCAAGCAATGCTGGAGCCCTGCTCTGGAGCAGGCAGAACTGGCCTTGGGGTGCATACATGGACCCACTGTGGGCAGGAACACAAGCATGGGACCACCCAGCAGCCAACCATGGGCAGCTGATGCCTCCTGCTCCTGCCTCGTCTCAGGTAGGAACTACCTCAGTCTCGGTCAGATTCCCAAAGCCACTGAGGCCTTTCCCCTTCTCCTGCAGCGAAACCCTGGTGGGGAAGGGACACAGCACAGAACAGCCACAAACTGGTCCTGGCTACAGCTCTGCCATATTGTTGCAGGACCGAGGCTTCCTCCCTGCAACGTGGGCATCAGGCCAATGTCCAGTCAAAGCTCACCACCTTGTCACCATCTCACCTGCATGGGGACCAGAACGTGAGCCTCCAGACTTCCCCAACAGTTTGTGGCTCCTTGGGTCTAAGCCAGGGCTGCAGAAATCATGCTTAGTCCTCTGCATAAATAAGTACATCACTGGGTGTTCTGCTGCTGTATCGACAGGCTGGTAAGCCTGCAGAAGTCATCCCAGACCCAGAGACTGCCAATGCCAGGGTGCCTGGTCTAGCCTCAAACAAAAGTGACATAAAAATCTCTCAAAACCATTATAAGCACTAAAAGGAAAACCTTTTTTTCCACCTGCATAGGTTTCTGCCCAAGGCTGGCCACACAGCAAACCCAGCCAACTTCCTAGCCTTAGACCACACAGCAGGGAGCACAATTTTTGCCACTGAAGTCAACAGGGTCCAGACTGGGCGATCCCAGATCTTCTAAGAGCATCTGGGAACAGGGGGAAATCAGCAAAGGAATCAGGCTTGCAAAGGATGGATCCTGCAGCAGAGCTGGAGCCAGACCCTGCCCAGCTTTACACTCAGAGGAGACCCACACATTTTCAGGCCATCACAACATTTTGTGTCCTGATCAGAACACAAAGGTATCTGTGAGCCTGACTCTCATATCCCTCAGTCCCCTGGTGTCAGGGTTTCCCAGCCACAGCTGAACCTGGCATACGGAGCTCACAGTTTCCTCTTACTCAGTAGCTCTGGCACAGGCACAAATGTGCCACCATGGGCACACCTCAGCCAGGCTGCCCTGCTCCACCACACTGCACCAGCATCTCCCCACCCCTTTGCCTGACAGCCCAGACACGCCACAGGCAAGAGTTTCATTCTGAGACACACAGATTTTAATATTAAAATAATTTGATATAAAAATACTATTGGAGACTGATAGCAAGCAGCCTTCCATGCACTGCAGTGGGGTCCCAGCCCTGCGGGACAGAGCAGAGCTGGAGCAACAGGCGCAGGGGACACAGCCAGCCCTCCTGCAAGTCGGGAGGTGGCAGCGGAGCCAGCTCCAGAGCTGGAGAAGCACCCTGGCACCGGCAGCAGTCACAGCTCTCCTGCTCTCACTGTGGAAAGGGCCCCCAGAAAAAGCAGCTCCTCAGCACTGGTGAGCAAGAGGGGCTCTGCCCGAGCCAGAGCAGTCCCCAGTCCCAGGCCACCCCAGGACGCAAGGAGGATGGCGGCTGGTCCTGCCCCGGCCCCCAGTCCCTGCCAGGCAGGCCCGCAGCTGCAGAACATTAGATCTCTCCCAGGTCCTCATAGACGGGCAACAAGCTGTACTGATCCACAGACTGCTCCTTCCTCCGTGCGGGCTGGGGCTTCACCACCTGGCTGTACAGCACCTCCACGTTGTTGTTGTTGCTGCTGTTGAGGCTGGGTTTGACAACAGCCTTCTCAGGAGCGGGGTTCCCCTGCCGCCTGCCCAGCTCCCCACTCCTCTCCCCACCCTTATGGATCAAGGCTGCCAGGGGCTTGGGGGCAGGCACCGGCTTGGGGCCCTTGGCCTTGGCTTGGAAGGAAGGTACCGAGTAGTCATCGGTGCTGGGGTTGTAGGGGTACTCATAGCCGCCGCGGCCGTCGTGGCCCTGGGTGCGCCAGGCCTCG